CTAGCAGAAGAAACTCCATCCTACATACAGGGTTCTTGTGTAAGTATAAAATGCCTATTGCAGTTATAATCATGGTTTGAGTTTGCAATGGGAGAGGACGCGGTTTGATAAATTTGTTGTTTGTGTGAATTTTGTTCTTTTATTTTACGGTATGCTATATTATAACTTATATACCATACCCATAATGTTCCACCACTACACCTAAACAAGAAAAAAGTAAATTATCAAATATTCGCACAATATTAAAAATTAGTAAATCTTATAACTATTTAACGATGAATATCATAGAACCAACTTGCGTGGTTGAAACAGCTGACAAAATGCTATAATTCTTGTTACATATGAATACTCATAAGGTTAATATGGGAAACTCCAGAGCCACTGGAGCAGCCCAAAAGGATTTTTAGATAAGACAGTGGCGGTCCCAGGATTTCATTTTGGGGGATGATGACCACCAAGGGGTGGATTTGAGCTCTAAATTATGCTCAAGCTAGTGGTATTATTTATTGGTTTTTAGCAAATTTCCCTATAGGGAAGTAGCTATTACCGTAGGTGGCATGACCTAGGCCCGGGACCGATTTACTTTTCATGTCCCCAGAGTCCAAAAACACCATTGATCGTTCAAATTGTTAAATACATATATATATATATATATATTAGCAAATTTCCCTATAGGGAAGTAGCTATTACCGTAGGTCTCATGGTAAGACCTATGCCAGGGAGCCATTTACTATATATAATTCTGAGCAATGTACAAAACTTGTGAGCTAATAAAAACGTTTTAATAAACGGTATCAGCATTCTGACACATACTTACTCCCATAAGCTTATCAACAACCTTGTTATCATGGGTAAGCGGTGGGAGTAAATATGATATTTTATAGTTAAAAATCAACATAAGTTACAATAACTTTTGAACCGTAATGTTTACAGAAATTAGATTTGTACCATTTTGTTCAGAATTTAAAGGACTATATCATACTAAAAAACTAATCTTTTATGAAAATTGTTCGGGCCATTTTCGAGAAAATCCGGGTTTTCTTTTGTTTTTTTGGGTTTTCATGGGAAAATCCCCATTAAAAATTTAAATTTCAAAAAAATGATAAAAAAAACGCCTGGAGATACCGTGGATCAGTACCTGCATACCGAATTTCGTCAAAGTCGGACCACACATGTGGTCTGTAGCTCTGTACACATTTCACACACACACATACATCACTTTGAATACCACTTTTTTGGGTTCAGGCGGACCCAAAATGGATATATATCCACTCAAAACCTCAAACTCAAAAATTTTGACGATAACAATACTTTTGTCCATATACTATGTATAGAGGAGAAAAGTATAAGTCGATGCTACAGTAGACTCCCTCTTATCTGGACACCTTTTAACCGGACATCGGTTCAACTGGACTACACTCGGCGAAAATGACATCTCTTTACCCGGACAATTTTTATCAGCAAGTCGGTTTAACCGGACTAGATCGGCAGGAAACGATCTGGTGGTACTAAAACGACAATTCTCATAGGAAATATTAGAGACCATGTGATCACATGTCTAAACATGTAATAATCATTATCGGATTATACTAACCTAATCCTTCACTCATATTTCGGTTAAAATTAGCACTGTAGTGGCAAACTTATCTAGTCTCAATTTGTCAAATCGCAAACTCAATATTAAAAAATGAGTAGGTATTCAAACCTTTTTCCACCGTCTCCTAATTATGATTTTAATTGTTTGATGATCTTTTTGATAGCATGATGGAATCAGACTTTTATTCGGTCCACTAAACCATTCCAAAAATGTTGCCATTTAATGTGTAATTTTTTTACGTTTGTCAACGTAATCGCGATGGCTGTCATGTAGAGAACACGGAACACATTTAATATAGTAATGGTTGTTATATAATAAAGGAACAACCTATTTTTGAAAATTTTGTTTTCATATAACACTAACTATATAATTAAAAATTAAAAACAAATGTTCTTGTGATTCAAAGTCATAGTCTGAAACCTAGCAGTTTACACAACTATATATAATCTGCAATAGGTGATCCACAATACTTATGATGTTCTTCGTTTTCTATTATTGAGGTCTTTTACCATCTCGTAGAAATCAGAAACATATCATGGCTATAATGGGACATCCTTTGTTACCTATATTCAGAATTTTCTTTCATAATGATAAACTTCATAATCAAACAGGAATACTCCAGTATTTGTACTTGAAATTTTAGTAGTTGCTGGGGAACCTGCGATTACAGGTAGTAAACAAGCCTAGTGTTTGTAATAAACTCTATTTGTCGGTCAATAGTCGATTTATTAATTAACCGTGAAGCATTGATGTGTCTAGCTAGTAAATGTGATCATTGTGTTTTATCAGTAGTATTTCGTTCCATACTGACTAGTTACCATCGTTTGATAAGGTATATAACAACCCAATAGTTATTTGTATAACTAGTGTGCAAAGTGGCACATTGCGGCTCATGAGAAAAATGTTGATGCGCGAGTCGCAGGTGAGTGTGGAAAGTTTCTCGAGTGCAGCAAAGGCACCTTGCACTCGCGTTACAATTATTTTTTCCCTACAGTGTAAAGTGCGGTTGGTAAAGTCTTTCAACAACTATACAACTCGTCTTTGGTTAGGTTAAAACCAAGTGTTGAATGAAATGGGAAACACTGCTTCAGCTGATCGTAGTAGTAGTATCTTTAAGTGTTGCCGACTTATTTTTATACACATTATGTGCCTTATGTTTTGTATCGTTTGGTTGGAATACTGAAGTGTGGAAAAAATGAGTGTGGCAAAAGTAAGTAAATGAAACACTTAACTACTTGGCGTACTACAATCAGTGCAAGTAATGCCACTTTGTCAGGTAACTGTAGGAACAAGTATTTTTTATGTTAGTTGATTTTTGGATATGAATAAATTGAAACTCTTTAAGCCCGGGGAAAACGGAAACATGTTCAAATTTACATTACACAAACAGAAGGTAGCATTTGTTCAAAGGTAAACTTAAATATTTAAATAATGTAAAATAACAACAGCTTTATCATGAGAATAGGATATAAACTTATATCAATGAGAAATATGATAATTGACTTAAAAAACTAAACATGCAAGCCAAATTTTATAAGTAAAAGTTTACTTATTCTTAGGCAATTATTTAGGCCAATAACAGTACAATTGTTAATGCAATAGTTTTAGTAGTGCATAATGTTTAGACCTACTCTACTGTAATTACAATGCACAGTATTTCCAAGCAAGAGAATAATAACTTTAAAGGGCAGCCACATGCTTTTCCCCCTTTGCAATATTCTCCTTTGTTATACAAGTGCCACATTTGTTACCCTTGTCCCGGGAGTTTCCTTTCAATTAACGCCTTCATTACACAGTCATATTAGCATAAGCCTCCTAAGATTCTATTTCACTGTTCTACACCAGATTCTTTTAAGGTCATAATGTACATTTTAATTTAACCAAGTTTACTACCATAATTAATGTTTTCATTTTATTTATTTTTTTATAGTAACTTATCAAGTTTACATATTTATATAGTACTACTAGCTGACCCGGCGAACTTCGTATCGCCTAAGTTATAGGTTTCCCCTAAGACAGACCGATGGAAAGAAAGTACCGTTACGTTTAATTTTCAAGATGATCTCGTTCGCATTGCTCAATCACGTCCTGGTTGAAGTTCGTTCGCTACGCTCACTCACCTTTGGGTTGGAGCTCGTTCGCTACGCTCACTCACCTTTAGGTTGGAGCTCGTTCGCTGCGCTCACTTGCCTTCAGGTTAGCTCGTTCGCTACGCTAACTCGCCTCCAGGTTGAAGTTCGTTCGCTACGCTCACTCACCTTTAGGTTGGAGCTCGTTCGCTGCGCTCACTTGCCTTCAGGTTAGCTCGTTCGCTACGCTAACTCGCCTCTAGGTTGAAGTTCGTTCGCTACGCTCTCTCACCTTTTGGTTGCAAATTAGCTGTTGTCATATGTAAAAGAAATAATAGTGCTGCACCCTGTTGGTAATCCTTGTAACTTGAATGATATTGAACATCATAGAACAGAACCAACTTGTTTAATTGAAACAGCTGTTAAGATTCATTAATTCCATTTCTCATAAGATTAACATGGGAAACTCCAGAGCCACTGGGGCGGAGCCCTTTTAAGAATTTCGAAACGGGAAATAGTTTACGTCCGATTCGCATACCTACAGAATTTACACACCAAATTTCATAACGATCGGTGAAGTCGTTCCGGAGGAGTTTGCAGACAAACACTGTGACACGAGAATTTTATATATTAGATTAGTTATTTGAATAAGTATTTTAGTTCCTAGTTAGGAATAAAAGTACTAATTCAAATAACTTATAGTATACTCTAAATACATAAATTTGATTCTTGAATTAGTTAACTAAAGAGCCCATGGCAGCATAGTAAGTATAAAACGTACAGAAATGCAGATTCTGATTGGTTTTAAATTTCAGCCTGAAACAATATTGATCCTATATTATAGAGCAACCATTTTTGTTTCTAATGCAAATAATTGTTGTTTGGATGCACTTCACTTGTAACTCAAGATGTATTCTATTTAAGGGCATTATATCTGGGAAACTTCAGCTACTTTCAGAAGTGGCCTTGAAAAGGAATGTTGTGGAATAGCAACCCAATATTTATCTTTCTATAGAAGATATTTTGAAGTATTAGACCGTTTTAAGAAAATATCCAAATAAATACTTTGTTGCACATTAGAGTAATTTGTTTATTAAAAGGTTGTAAGCTCTTAGTATCATTGACTATTGTAGCAATGCTGTAGAAAAAGTATAAAGCTAAGGACCGTTTTGCGGGTCATGATTTTCACAACAGCTAGTGAATTAAACTCCTACTTGAAATATTTGGCTTATGGACGCTCCATGCTGAACAGCATGCTCCAGACTTGGAATCGTGTATTGAGGGGATAAGGACAGGGTTGATAGTGGATGGCGAATAGAGGTAATCACTCCCGGTAGGTAACAGTTCTTTATTTAACCATTCACTATTTCAAAATTATTAATAAAGTAAAAAAGTACAATAAAGTAAAAAATGCATCTGCTCTGTGAATCTTCACTCCACATAACTGACATCAAAACTTTAGTTCAAAGTCCGCACTGAGGTACGGTTCATAGTGTTTTGGCCATTATTGAGATAGGGTTCCTCCATATGATCTTGAGATCTAACAGATCAGGATTCTGTTCATAATCAATATGAGATCTGGCTAAAAAAGTGTTGATTATACTGCGACATACTTTCACTTTCATCAGCTTTTCATTGTTCCTTTGAATCTCCCTGAAAATTTAAAATAATTAACATCCGTTGGTTTCATCGAAATATTCAAAACATATCAGTTAAAATAAATTATTTAGGTATATTTCTTCTTTTGTTGAACAAACACAACATGTTCAGAAAATGAAATTCCACACAATGATCGGATAAGGATAGTCTTTAAGACTTAAGTATAAATTTAAGGTACGAGCCAAAGGTTGTCCCTTAAAAACTTCTACGAGAGTTGTAAAGGCTATTTTCGCAAGTTCCTTACACTACTTCACCTACAAAGGTTTCTTCAATATATATTTTTTTATTTTTATTTAATACCAATACTTTCTGTTACTTTTTTCATAGAATAGATGCCCTAGACCAATCTCAACAGATAACTGTATGATGAATCAATTAATAAAGGGATAGCCTACCCCTAATTCATCTAGTTATCTTGGGGCGATTTGCCTTGAGGTATGTATGGTGTGGACCGGTACCCTAAACTGAAATTGCTTAGCCTAATGACAAATTAACACAAATGGTACAACATTTTCTCTTCATTGTATAAAAATGTGCTAAAATACAGTGCACTCTGCACTCCCGATTAACAGATGAGAATTTAGAGGTCACTTTGATTTTTTATTAATAACATGGTTATCAACCGAAAATTTCAAAATATATTTTTAGGCCTAAAACAGCCTTGCATAGCCCGAGAGCTTGGATATCAGAATTTTCCTGTAGACTACAGGACAATCCTGAAATCCAAGCTCTCGGGATATCAACTTTCCAGTCATAGTTGGGAAAGTTAGTCAAAAATTCTAACTAGTTTGAAGTTATTAGTTATTCCCGTAAAAAGTAACTGATAGAAAATAAAGTTAGTTTTCGTAGTTCGTAAGTTGCTGTTTGTTGGGCAGTTGTTTCAAAGGATTTTTTTTATTGATTGAAGCTTATTGTAGACATTTTATAGATTGCTCGTCCACATGAAAAGGTTTGTAAGGTAAATTAAGGATGAGTAAATGTCTACCAAAAACGAATTTGCTTTACAACTTAATCAATCGTAGTAAGACTGAAAATATTTGTAGGCTTATAAGCTCTTTTTTACCTCTTAAACAAGTCCAACACTTTGAGCAGGCTCGGTCCCCTGGTACTACTTGTGTCATGTGTTTTAATCAAACATGTCACATTTTACATTACTACAATAGAAACAATTGACTTAAAACTTGTCAGATAATGAACATCAACTGAAGACAATGTTTTGACAATTGAGATGATATATTAATCACCAAACAGACATTACCCCTTCCTACCCCTCAGTGCTTGGGGTGTTGATAATGGCCTATTAAGTATAAATTCGTACAAAATATATGAACACAACTATTGAATCATGTTTATTTCTTTATAATGAAAAGTAAACATTGAATTATTTACAATATTGAAATTAATCCAGTCATATGATAAATATTAAAAATAAATGATAGTTTTAAATATATAACGATTCCTCCCCACTTATTTGAGAGAAAACTCATTTACAAATCCTTCCTTTTGGTGGGTTTTGGTGGTACTCGGCTCCTGGGCCTCTTGTTGGCTGCTTGTACTCGGCTCATGGGCCTCTTGCTGGCTAATTGTACTTGATACTTCCTTGTTATGTATAGGACTTTTTGTCTCAGTATTAAGAAAAAAGTTCACTGTAGGACTCAATGTTGCAGAGACTGCAGTACCTTCCCCACTTAAAGTGCTACTTAAGAAATTTTCAGTAGGCCTATCATATGAACTTTCTGAATTGGCTATCAATTTACTTAACCCGTATCTTGCCGTATCTTGATTTTCCCATGAATGGCGGTTGTCTTGAGCAACTTTGATTGGTGTTTCGAAATATGAAAGTTCAATGTGTTTGCTTAGGAGGTACATTGGCTATTGGGTCACATCGGCTGTTTGGACTTCCTTGCCTTGTTTGGGGCGATAAGCTAAGTAGAGGGCTTTTGTAAGAAATAGAATCTTTTGGCACTTCACATTGATCATGTTGGTGCTAAGGTCTTTTCTTTGGTGGTATTTCTTTGCTTAGTAGACTTTCAAACTATTTGAACTGTGAAAAACTAAGGTCGGTTTATTTTGGAGTGGTGTATCCATATCAGGCTTATGGGCTTGTCCTGTGGGGAGGTTCTTTTCACACATACACCAAAAGAATTTTTCTATCACAAAAAATAGCTGTGCGTTAGGTAGGAAAAGTTAGCCCAAGGACTCCTAGCAAAGTCATTTTTGTGTCACATAACATTATGACTTTGTATGCAATGTATGTATACCAGGTTACATGTTTGGTTAAATTTAGCTGCTGTTCTGATAATTTAATTTCTAATGTAGGACAAATACATGACCTTAACACTAGACAGTGTAATGATTTTTTCAGAGTGAGAAGACAGTTCAAAAGGACAGAGAATAGCCCTTATGTCAAGGGAACAATTTTCAATAAATACCGAAGTAGGCTACATAAAGAAACTAGAAGGTAAAAACTTCAAAATGGAACTAAAAAATTGGCTTATCTATCTATCTATATATTAATAGGCAAGCATGTTTCTTTAAAACCTTTTTTCTCAGCTCGTGTGTATCGTAGGGAAAATTTACGCATACCGTTAGAAAGCTATTTTCCTGTAGGTGTGCAGAATCCCTTTATAAATTTAAATAGGCTCAAAAATAAGCACAAAAAATGAATTTGAAATTTGAAAAAATTAACATGGGTCTTATGGGTTGCTATGGTGATGACGAAATAACAACGAAATATAAACAGAAAATCAAAACAAATGGAAGAAACTGCAATCACATGTTTTATTTACAGTGTGGGGTGAAAATAATAAATTTCCAGACAGTCTTAAAAATGTTAAATAAGTTGAAGGTATGCCTATTGCGTAAGTAGATGGTTGTTTGCCTCAACAGATTTTTTTCATTGTAGAGTAGCATGGTTTTGTTCTTTTTTAACTTAAGGGTGCGCTCTACCTCAGCTCAGAAATCTTAACTCTGGCCTCAACAGCTATGTTTTGCCTTTGAACAGCGCCGCGAGAAGCACATGCAAACGTTTCCTCTTAAATTACTCACTTAACTTTTAAAATATATTTCATCTGAAGATTGTACTCCTTATATTCAAATTTATGACACTACTTTTTAATTTTCTTCTAAAAATGTATTTGTATGTGTAAAATGCTTATAAAAACGCTTATTTAGAAGTATTTACCAGTCACTTCCCACTTAAAATTCTACTATTATCAAAAAATTAAAAAAGTACAAGCCTACAGATATAAGAAATGAATAAATTAACATAAATATATTTTAAATCAGTTAACTAAGCTGACAATGACAGAGATCCTAAACCCTTGCATTAGACAGGGAGAGTGCTTCCTTAAATCAGTGTTTTTGCATGGTTTGCACTAAATGATATATGCTACTTATTTTATATTTAAAGTTACTTTGACGGTTGCAATGCATGTTAATTTCCATGTTAAAAGCAATAAAGACATTTCATTTAATTTCATAGAGGTGTAAGATTCATGGACTGATAAGTAGACCTTACTGATAATTTACCTTGGATGAGTATTTGACTCTGCCTGCTCCAAATTGTCACCAACCTCAGCAGCCAGCTTTATCATTTCTCTTTGATTCTCCATCATTTTTATATCATATTGTTCTTTTTCCTCAGTCCCCTCCATTTCAACTATAAGAAAAGGTGTTATCTTTTCTCCTAATCCTAAGATTTTTCTGAAAACAAAATTCAGAATGATACATTTTATATTATATAAAGTATAAATTATAATTGAATTAGTAGTATAAAAAAAATTAGAAGAGTAGCTGAAAAATATTAAGTGAAAAGTGTGTTAGGGACACCTTACTACAGAATGAACAGTAATTATGCCAAGCCCTATTATGGGGAGTCAAAAAAATCAATATTAAAATAAAAGAACACATAAGTAAATTTAGAAGTCTAAAATTACCCCTCTGAAAACCAAGAAAACTCATTGAACAACAAGTAAGCAAACGGAAGTTATCAATAAATCATCAGTCAAAATCTGACAATTATGGCATCAAATCAAACTAACTTAGCCTTCTGTCGGGCGCGTTGATTTTAAAACACCAAAGAGCGCTCATGGAATTCACCTCCGGAAGTAAAAAAACTATACAATGATGAGTAAAAAACACTTAAATAGCGATAAAACTGAAAGAAAAACATTTTTTATGAGTTTTTACACTATTACTTAAGTTGTATATAAAATAGAAAATATTATACATAGTAGGCTACACAATAAAAATTTGTGAAGTGTTATGGATAAATACCCCCGCCGCAGCAAACCTGCAGACTAAACAAATTTCCATTTGCCTGATTGGATTTACACTAAAATAGTAAAATGCCTCCTTAAAAATATCACATTCATTCCCTATTTAAATAGAATTATGTTAACAAGTACTTAGGTTTGCTGCAACAGGGAGGTAAAAAAGTGTTTTTGTTGTAAAATGTTTATGTAGTAAGAAAACAAAAAAAGTAAATCGGTCCCGTGTCCAGGTCTTACCATAAGTACTACGGTAATAGCTTATTCCCTATATGGGAAATTCGCTAAAAGTATTTACTTTTTGTACATATACAGTAAAATCGTATAAAATTATAAACAAAATTGCAATAGTGTATGACATAAAAACACCTATGGTCTAATGAAAAAATCATTTATTAGAAGGACTACTCATTTTTTCTAAACTCTCTTTCTCACAAAAATTAAAAGTTCCCAAGCTAACGTGCCGGTAGGTCTTTCCACTAAATGCTGTTCCCTTTCCCCCCTTTCAACACTAGCCAACAATTGCGCAATTGGTTCTTCTTCATCAATTTTATAATATTGCAAAATAAGGTCAAACACAAGGGCGCACACGGAACTAGGCTCAGGGAAACCTGTATTAAAGGATGCACACAGAAGCTACCTTCAGTAGTGAAGCCAACCACTCCCCAAGGGTGACTGACAACTGGAAAAGGGGTAAAAGTAGCCGAAACCGATTTCATAAAAGAGCTGTGTAAGATACGGCAGGCGACAGCCTTGCCAAACGCACACTATGGTTTTTATAACAAAAAATTTAGAGACCTGGAGGTAACTTCCTTGATGCGACAGATGGAATGTTAAGAATAGGTGAAACCGATTTGGAAGATAAGAAATATAGAAAATATGGCAATTTCCCTTTTAATGATTGCCCTTTTCTACGGCTTTGTACATTTTACCTCCCAATGTATATTTTTCTAGCCATCCCAGATTCAAGAACTTGAATTATGTTAGTGTAATTATTACTTACTAGTGGTCGTCCAGTGGTTGAAAACTCGACCCAAAGACCAAAACATGCAATGTTCTTGTATTGACTTTTGGATACTGAAGTAGACATCCCATCTATATGGACCAGCTGTCGCAATTTGTTTTACACATAGTTTTGTGAGCCAGTCACCAGTCAGTTGAATGCATGTCTTAAATTCTAGGCCTATTTTCTGCCTCATTTTTTGTTGCTGACAAAGTTGATGGGTCATAACAGTTGCTATTGCTCATAATAAGTCATTCCATAAGTTTGACTTGGTAAGAAACATTGTGTATTCGACAGAAATAAGTCATTTAGATCAGCGCAATCTGTTGGTGGCTCACATCAACCACGACAAATTTAATAAAAAAAAAAAAACTGGTGACAGCTTTATCATAGGAATGGAATGTAAAGGTAGAGGCTTCTCTATTTTCACCCCACGTTGTAAATAAAACATGTGATTGTAATTTCTTCCATTTGTTTTGATTTTCTGTTTATATTTTGTTGTTATTTCGTCGCCAACATGGCAAAACATAAAGCCCATGTTAATTTTTTTGATTTTTATATCAAGTTTTGAGATTGTCAAACTTATGATCAGCATTACTGTAGTTAATGGTTACGTGTGTTAAAACGAAGTAAGATGAGTGCAAAACAAAAACGTGTTGTCCTATCGCTAAAGGACAAAGTGGAAATAATAAACCAATAAAAAAAGGAGTGGCCGGAAAGGTATTGGCAGAGAGATTTGGTGTCGGGGCGGCTACGATTACTGACATTAAAAATAACAGTGAAAAGATTTTAAGTTTTGTGACTACGTCGGAAAGTGATGATGGATGTTCGTTGCGAAAAGTGATGAAAAAGGCAAAAGATAAAGAAAGAGAAAGAGAGAGAGAGAGAGAGAGAGAGAGGAAAGAGCTTGAGAATGCAGTTTTTACCTGGTTTTTGCAACAAAGATCTATTGGACAAACGATTTCAGGACCTATATTGTGTAAAAGGGTGCGAATGTTCAGTGAAAAAATGGGTGTAGTGATTTTAAGGCAAGCACAGGATGCATACGCAATTTCAAGAATCAGCAAAGAATTCGGGAATTGGATATTGCCGGTGAAAAAATTTCTGCTGATAGTGAAGCTGCTAATAAATTTGTGGAGACATTTAAAACAGAAACAAAAATGTACAACCCTGATTTTGTGTATAATGCTGAAGAGACTGGTTTGAATTGGAAAGGGTTGCCAAGAAAAACCCTAGCATCTAAAAGAGAAGCTCCCGGACACAAAGTCAGTAAAGATGGCGTCACTATAATGGTCTGCGCTAACTCTACCGGTACCCATCGCCTTCCTTTATTATTCATCGGCAAAGCAAAGAAGCCGCGGGCTTTTAAGAACGTAGCCAACTTACCAGTGACCTACTAATCAGAAGAATGCTTGGATAAGGAGCACTATTTTTTTGAAGTGGTCGATAAAACCTTTATTCCTCAAGAAAAAACATTTAAACAGAAAAAAGGGAAAGGTTTTACTTATCATGGACAATGCGCCGACACATCCTTCACTGGAGCTTCTCGTGAGAGAAAAGGGGAGATTTAAGTGTCTCTTTTTACCTCCTAACGTGACAAGTCTGCTCCAGCCCATGGATCAGGGTGTAATTGAGTACACAAAAAGTCTTTACAGACAACAGATGCTTCGTAAATTTCTCCTAGCTGAAGAGAACATCGAAGAACAAGTTTTGGATTCTTAAAAAAAATCAACTTGAAAGACTGTTGCTACATGATTGCAAGACTCCTGGAACATGGTTAAGAGTGTTTCACTTAAATGGGCTTGAAACAAAATAAACGGTATGTCAACAAAAGAGCAACTCGAGTTAGAAAAGCAAGCTAAAGAACGAGAACTAACTGCTGAAGCTGCTGGGGTTAATAAAGACGAACTGGAATTGCCGTCAGTTGGGGAGTTAGTAAACATGGCTAAGGAAATTGCGGCTTATTCGGAGTGTGATGTCGATGATATGGAAGAGTGGTTGGAATGTGATAAGAACGATCAAGGATAGCAGATAATGACTGATGATGAAATCGCAGTGAGTATAATAGATGAACAGGAAAATGAAGATGAAAACAATGAGACCGTGGGAGACGAAGAGGCAGGAGAGGAAAGTGTACCATCATATAGTGAGGCGGTAATGTGCTTTGACAAAGCTCTCAAATGGATGGAGCGGCAACCAGAGTGCGACAGTGTACAGCTTCTTGCCGTCCGGTGCCTGCGTGATCTAGCTGCGCGGAAACAAGCTACAAGGTCACGGCAACTTACGCTGATAGAGATGTACAAGTAAGCGTTGTAAAAGAACTTTTTGAGAAGAACTTCACATTGTACTGTAGTTTTGTTTTTATAAATATCAGTATTTTTTCATCTACTATACTTCAATTCAATATAACAGCTCTATTATGTCTTAGTTGTACTCAATAAAGTTCATTCGTTGTATAACACTTTGTTTTTCTTTATTACCATTCTGTGTCCGATTTTCCAAATTTTTGATTATCCGAATCGACCCCGGTCCCAATTGATTCGGATAGTCGGCGTTTTACTGTACCTTGTCTCACCTTAGGACAAAATCAGATTCCAGATCCCAAAACATGTTAAAAACTTTATAATTTTTTTATCGTGGTGAAAAATTATTGCAATTGCCCCTTAAAAACATAAGATGTTTTACGAATGTTTAAGCATGTATATATTTAACTTACCTCCTGAAATTTTCTACTTCAGGATTGGCAGATGATTGACCCATTATTCCAGGGGACAAGGCATTGAATAACAAATTGGTTTGATTTTGAATCCTTATCTTGTAGTTGTGTACACTACTCCATAGCCTCAGCACCTGGTCGTAGAATGTCTGACTTATTTCCGTGCAATCACCAAGATCTGATTGATTTCTTCTCTTTGATCCCCTTGCTATACATAATCAAGCATATAAGTGGCTTAGTTTACTATTCATTTCCATTCTAGGTCCTAGGCTGTTATATTCAATGTGATAAGTAGGTTAATAATATATATAGGTTAATCTATATATATAATACGCTAAGTCAATATAAATAATAATACGCTAAGACGATTTTTATAAACAGAACTCCTCCCTCATTTTTGGACCGATTTTGATGATTAAAGTGTCAAAAGAATGATCCTGATCTGTAGTTTTGCAAAGTTTTTTTTTCATTTTTTGAAATCTTAATTAGTTTGGGGAGGATCTTCCATCAAAGTTGGGGTTTCTCCCTTAAGATTGACATGGGGGAATCTAAATATTTAATTGGAAACTTTGCCTCGACTAATTTTAGAGAACAGCTGGGCGTAGAAACTTGGTAGAGGTGTCCAAAGAAAGGTATTGGTCTGTACATAAGCCATCAAAAGAAAAACTAAGTAAATTCCCTTAGGGCTCTTCCCCCGAAGCCTTCAAAGTTCTCTTACCAGATTTGTTTACATAATCGTCATATGGATAATTTTTCACTACTTTTTAATGAAACAGCTGTTGATACTTAAATTGTTTTTTAACTAACACATTATTATAGGGAGTTGCTGAGTTTGTCAAAAAAAGTATTTGCAATGTAATTTTCAGATTTTAATAGTTATTTGTGCAACTAGTGAGCAAAGTGAGCAATTGCCTCACTCGAGAACTTATTGAATTACCTTATATCTATTGTACAGGTTGGTGTCTGCCTTTTTGACCACTTTTGCCGATATTTTGTCATATTATTCAAGACAGATACTCATAGGTTCATGAGATTATTTCCATACATGTTTTCAATTATTGGAAAAGAATTTGATTCTGTAATACATTACAAAATAATATAAGTGCAGAAGGGCACGTTGCCCATATGAGCCTTGTCCCTATATTGTTAGATTAATAGTGGTTTACACAACGACCACGGTTTACAGAAACTGGATTAATTTTAAAAAAATGTTTATAAAGAAATATGTGCATGATTTAGAAAGTCATTGATCGGCAAAATTGCAATTTATTGCAGACTTTATTTAGAGATGTTACATCGATGTATTCATTCAGCTTAGTTAACCCTCCGAGTGTCCCTAGTTTTGGCCTTAATGTTTGCCTATTTTTTGCGCATTTGCAAGGTTTTATTAAAACGGATCTGAGAAGCTTAAAACAATGTTAATTATACTGTTCTATATACCATTTTGTTTGGAAAATCATGGGCTTCAATATTATACATAAAACATAAGGAACATTTGTTTCAAACAATATTTTTAGGTAAAAAAAGTATAAATTATAGGCCTATAAATATTTGAAAATAGCCACTTTGTTCTAAATTTTATGAGGATTGCAAATATATAATAATATAAGGAAGTAGATTTGCAAATAAATAAGTTATGGACAAAAAAACAGATTTCAGTACATAGCGTTTAGCTAAGAACGCATAGCCTAACCATAGCTAGGAATCTGGCTGATAATTTACATCAATATCACTACCTACTTCTTCAGGATCATCAACCAACCTTTCAAAATCACTTAAATCTTCTTAGATTGCACCACGTATAACACTACTTTTGATTTTTAACACTAAAACAATGATACACGTAATAAAACACATCAGTCATCGGTCCGAGGTTAAGCAAGCTGTTTACAAATACGCACGTCAGCTGTCTGCTACAATAATTTTGGAACTAAAATGAATAGCGCTTAGAGACAGACCTCCGGAGAAAGCTCTGAATCTGCAAAATAAAACGATACCTAACTCGATCCAGTTCAATCCGATTTCGTCAGTCATAGAGCCTTCGCCGTAAACAGTGTTTGTGAGTCGAAAAATCAACACAAAACATTACACAAAGTGTGTTATGTGTCGATTTTTCGACACATAACACTCGGAGGGTTAAATACCTTTTTAATATCCTATCCTTAATTTCCAAGTAGGCTATTTAATGGAATTCGATATAGTTTAATATTTTTCTTGAATTTAAAAAGGTACCTATAAAAATGAAAAGTCTTGTTCTGTAGGAAGGTTAGCTTTAGTTTTCATTCTCTAATAAATTAATTATTCACTTGGGATGTCATTTATTTTAATTTCCTAAGTCTAAATTTGTACCGGTAGGGTGACAAAAAATTACGGTACACTCACCTTATTCTATATCTGGACTGGGGTTAAAAATCCGGGAATAATAATTCATTGGTAAAAATCTGGGCTGTACATTTTTAAAAGCCAAACTCATGAAGAGGGTAAAAGTCCGCGCAACTCTGCTCATTTATTTTCAATTAAAACTATATTCTCACTACCTAACTAATTATATTTTCTCATCCGGCACAATTTTTGTTTTAATTGAATCATAATTTACTTGGACCTTTTGTAATATAGCTTGTCTTAAAATTTTTCTTAAATCATCTTTTATTTCATCCTGACTTAATGTTACATCTAACAATTCATTAAACTTCCAAAGATTGCTTAAGCTATTATTTGACTTGTGGTTAAACATGAGTTCAAAAGCCGTGCATTTTGTAGTTTCACACAGTGAAGAATTCAAACTAACTTGAATATATTTTAGGTCCACACACCAACTGATTTGAGCTTCGTGAAGATATGCTCTTATCTGTTGTTTAACATTCCTTAAGAACCTTTTTGAAATATTTGGATTTGGTCTATAGGGTATTAACCTATGGTATTCTATGGAGTATTTAAACAAAGTTTTTTGAACAACAGACTTCAAAAACAAGAATCGTTATCTGATACAAGTTTCTTACAAGAACTTAAATTATTAAATATTACATTTTATAGCTTCTAGTCTAAATTTGTACCGGTAGGGGAACAAAAAATTACGGTACAAAAATGTGCCACTCTGCTATTTAAGTCAGCCATGTATCTTGTTTAAAATAATTGTCTTTTAAATTTTGTATTTAGCTTGTGTTCATTAATACAAATTTGCAAACATGACGATTAAAGTGAATTTATTGTTAACAGATGAACTTATCTTTGAGTTAAAGGTACGAAGTTTAAAATTAAGCGAAACAAGTAATGTTGTTGATTTAAGAAAAATGTTAAGACAAGATAGGGCCTATCACAAAAGGTCCAAGTAAATTATGATTCAATTAAAACAAAAATTGTGCCGGATGAGGAAATAGATTTAATTAGCCTAGTAAAAAATTGTTTAATTAGAGAATAAATGAGCAGAGTTGCGCGGACTTTTACCCCCTTTATGAGTTTGGCTCTTAAAAATGTAGGCCTACAGCCCAGATTTTTACCAATGTATTATTATTCCCGGATTTTTAACTCCAGTCCAGATATAGAATAAGGTGAGTGTAAGCCTACCGTAATTTTTTGTCACCCTACCGGTACAAATTTAGAATTAGGAAATTAAATTAAATTACATCCCAAGTGAATAGTTAATTTATTAGAGAATCAAAACTAAAGCTAACCTTCCTACAGAACAAGACTTCTCACTTCATTACCTTTTACAATTCAAGAAAAATATTAAACTATATCTAATCCCATTAAATACTTGGAAATTAAGGATAGGATATTAAAAAGGTATTGTCTTTCTTCATTCTACTTGGAAATATCAGCCCTTCATGTGAAGGGAAGAGTTTTGCTGACTGTTTAAACAGGGAGCCACCATAGGAATGAGAACTGGTCTCTCTGTCTCAGCAGTGGAGGGGTTTACCCCCACCACGTTACATTTCTGAATTATTATGTCAACAACTGACTCATCGCTCCTTAGCTTGTCCCTACAGGTTTCCTTCATATATGTAACATGGTCATTCGGGGTAATTGTTCGCTATAAAAGATTGGAAAATTATACAGACGAATAAAATAATATGGCACATGAGAATAAATCATTTTGTGGGCTACTTAATAGGTGTTTTTATAGAAATATGTTTAATCAGTGGGCTATTTAATAGACTATTTAATAGTTGACTATCAGTTGACTTAGTAGGAAATAAAGTAATTTCTGAATTTCAAGCTGGATTCAGGAAAGGTTATTCTACTACCGGTATCGATAATAGGGCCTATATAAGTTACTGACCTTTGGTGAGTTTTTCTTTTAGAAGAATCAAATGGGCTTGGGTCAGATTTAACCAAGAAGTTGCCAGGATTATTTTTTCCACGAGCTTATCTTGGTCTAGGAGGGTAGAGTCGGCAGTTCTATTTACAGCATAGCTCATAGCAGAAGACATTGTAGTGTTCCCGGCCATTATCAGCTACCAATGCTAAACTGGAAATTAGCAATATTTATTACCAACTAGGCTACCCCATATAGGTAACACAAGCCACATGAAGGACAATGTATTGCTTAAAATCATTAGTAGGCCTAATATTAACCAATTCCATTACCATACTTAAGACTAAGTTAAGGCCAAAGTTATTTATTTATTCAAGCCAATCATATCAAGATCTACAAAAAAACCTAACCAATCTGGTTTGCAGCCACGAAAACATGCTTGAAACTACTATTTTTTTGCACTAGTGTGTCAAACAGTCATTCAGTTTATTACTGAGAAAGTACGGTAGGGCCTATGATTTACTTAACTTTTAAGAATAGCTTTAAATACAAAATGAGAAATAAAGTGCACAGTATTAGTACCAGAAACTGCAAAAAGATTGATCTGCCTCAGGTACGGTTGGAAAAAACAAGATCTGGTCATGTTAATAATGATGGGTATTAGCATTGACTATAGTAGTGTTATATAGTCAATGGTATTAGGCTATTAAATAAATTACCTCTGGCTGTGACAGATTTAGACTTTAAGAATTTTAAGAAAAGGCTGTTTGTATTTTTAGTAAACAACCCGCTCTACCGTATCGAAGATTTTTTTAGCATGTCTGATAAGTTAATAAAAAATATTTGAAAAGGATGTAACTGTGATTTAGATATAAGTTGCATGATTTTTTAATTTATTACTGTCAAATTTGTAATCTCTTGCCATGGTTTGTAACTTTTGTATTTATTTGCTCGTCGCTCAATTTCAATTTTAACTCTTGTATTATATTGACTGTATTAACTGAATTCCTTGTTATTTATATATATTTATACATTTATTTACTCAAGACTGAATACGAGATGTATTTACCAACATTTTGACCTATCTATGCATTTCATATGTAAAAAATGATGAATAAATGTCTTATGTCTTAACTATCTAAGAGATGGATCATTAATCTAAATAGCCTATGAGAGCAAGGTGACTATTGCAAATGTAGTGGGGTGATCTGTATAGATATTGTTGTTATTACTGTCTGAGATCCGCTGTTTCATTAGGCATGATCATTCATAAATATCCCAATGATCAAGTAGAGCTAAAGCCCAGTTTTGAACAAACAAAGAGATAACTTAAACCTACAGAATTTTATTAGTATCGAACTGGGGACTTTCTAAGGCTGGCACTATAACATCTCAGCTATCGAGGATCAGATTAGTGGCTGACAAAAGGATCTTTTAGAATATCGTAAACAAAAACAATGGATGTTCTAAGCTATGCTAGGTAAAATACAACTTAGTTAGGCTAAGTTAACTTTGTGGCCAACAAGGCAAAAGATTGGTATTTATTGCGACAAACGTGACCATGGGAACCTGTATGGATTTATATATCACTAGAAACTAGATTTTTTGCTGAAAATAACGGTGCAAAAATTTTTCTGCGCTCTCAAATATTAACAGAGTTACGGCCGTTTTAAGTTTTATTTACCGGTACTTTGTTTTTTGACCTAACCTATTTGTAAGCCTATGAAATGTTCTCTCTCCAGATACTTGATATATTACGTTAATTATAAGTAATTAAAGTAGAAGACTCACTTTTTACCTGGAAATAGCAGTGCAAAAATGTCTCCGAGGCCACGAATATTAACTAAGGTAGCCTAACTTAAGATAATTTGTCGTTTTGATTTCTTTTATCTACCCTTCTATTCTAGTCTGCTACTGTTTGCCTCATTACGGAATTACGGAACGGACTAACTGTTACTTGTAGAACTATAGTGAACAACTGAACCTGAAATGAAAATATGAAATTGAAGAGAGGAGAATAAAAATTTAAGTCAATCAAGACATTCAAAGTAGACTACATGTGACACAAACATCTAAGAAACAACATGACACCGAATAACTTATTTCAGAATGATTTTATTTAGGCATGTGTGGAAGGCAAGTTGGGCTTATAAGGATTCGTGATTGTATTAAGTGTTTTGAAGTTCGGTTAGATTAGGAAGGTAAAGTGTAGGTTATAGTGGACCGAGTTGATAATTTATATTACACACAGGCAGTTGTTGTGCCATTAAAATACTTAGTGTGTCAACACACAACAAAACAACGATTTCAAAAATGCTGCAAGCTATTTTTTTTTTTTTTTTTCAACGACAGTGGCATTTCACGTGAGAGTTACGAGATAAATGTTTAGTGGATGTGCCGAGGATTAAACCCGTCCCTCCCGCACCGAAGCCCGAGACGCTAACCACTAGGCTACCTGGTAAATTAAGCTGAAATTAATAAGTTTGCGTTAATTAACCTATTGATTGTTAGTGTGAGTCTAATAACTTATTTACTTAAAATCACTTACAATTTAGCCTACATAAATTTGATATTTATATAAAGTTTCTGGTGAGGAAATATCAGAAATCAGAAATATTTAATTGTCATTGGACATTACAAAAATGCATTGACAATTGTCATGTGTAGGCCTATAGCATGGCTAGAGCCAGGCTAGACATTAGGCCTACAAATAACATGTCCAATATGTTAATTTTTTTGGTGTCAGCTCTGTGGAATGATTAATGGATCGTCAATTAAAATAGACTAGTCAGTAGACTTACAAAGGTAAATAAAACTTAAATCAGCCGTAACTCCGTTAATATTTGTGAGCACGGAAAAATTTGTGCACCATTATTTTCAGCTAAAAATCTAGTTTCTGGTGATATATAAATCTATTTATATAGGTTCCCATGGTTCACATTCGTCGCAATAATTACCACAAGATTTCACAAGTTTTGCCTAAGCTAATTTTAGTCAATAAAGGCTATGACCATGGCCTTGGTCTACATCGAAAACATAAGTTAAATTACTCGCCATTATCGTTGTCACTTGGCCTAACTGAAAGCCTTAGTTACAAATTCAAATTGTTTATTCAGCCATGGTACGTTCCATAACAAATTGAAACAACTTTCGATTTAAGCCTATAAACAGTAACACGAATTATAAAACATGAGACACAAGATGCAGAAGTTAGACCTTGATATTCCCCGATGTCACCTAAGCAGATCCATGATGCGATTCACGGTGAGCAATTGAAATATTCAACACACTTTTTAAGGGTACAGTTTCTCAACTGGGCTATGCTAATACTGATTAAAACTATCGATTCGATTAGTAAACCTTCATGCGATTTTTTCACCACCAGCAAGTTTGGTTGGTTAGGTTAGGTTAAATGATAGTTTAATTTTATAATAGTGTATTTTAAAATACCGATTATTAATCAATATTTTCAATTCAATAGTTTCAATCGATATTAGCATAGGGGCCCAGCCCAGTTAAGAAACTGTACCCCTTTTTAAAACTGTAGGAGATTTGGATATAAATCCTAACCAAAAGTAAAGTCACTTAGTACTGTAGGCCTACAGTGATTGAGATAAGACTATTGTGACTTTGATGTAGGGCCTATAAAGATTAAGGAATAGAGGTCCTAAATTGTAGCCCTATAGAGAAATAAAGAAATAAGCCAAAGTAAATAAAAAATTGAACTTACCAAACTGACAGTAGCCTACTTAGGCTAACTTATTTAAAAGGGCAGTTCAAAGGTTTACAGAATGAGAAGTAAATACACAAACCAAATAAAGATCGTTATGTTATGTTCCGGACTTCTTCGCCATGGAAATAAATTAATTAAATTGATTTATCTCAACTGCAGCACAGAAAACTGCAGGCACTACCACGGTATGGCAATTTTGGCAATGGCATCTCCTAATTGCCTTGCTGCTAGGTTTCTTTGTTAAGTATCTTAGGTAACAACTAACAACTAGAACTAGAGAGAGGCTTGTTTTTTATTTTGACACTGTTCACTGACATGAAACAAAATGCTTTACTTACTGGCTAATCAATCGAATTCGAATAAGACCAATCTCAAGTTCAGTGGCTTTGCACGTCGACGTGGGTCCACAAACAAAACAAATCACCAACAAGTAAACAAGCCTACAGAAAATTAATTGCCTACAGAAAACATTTAAAAGTGTACCAAACAATAAATATGCGGTTTTTCCATTTCCACATAGGCTAGGTAAGGAATACTAAATCAAAATCCAACACCAACACCTCCATTGACATTGACAGGACATTAAAAACTTAAAAAGGAAAAAAGGCGCGAAGAAAACCTTTTACTTTTACGCCACACTAGCGTAGCGTCTAGAGCAACGAGTCACGACCTTCTCACCGCAGTATTTCACCTCCCTTTTTTTAGAACCTTTGGAACAGTTACACGGAACTGTTTGGGATAATGTTCAATACAACTGTGACAAAAAGTATAGAATAGGTTAGGCGAAACCGTTATATTACAAATAGCTCCGTTCCTTTTCAACTTTATTATTTTTCCTGCATAAAAATTTAATTATTATGATATACCTTTTTTCCTCCTCCTCATAATAATAACAAGTCTTTTATGGACATGGACATAACCTGTAAGTTAGTTAACTGGTTTCGTTTATTTAATTATTCTTACATTACATCACGAAAACCGGCTTATTCTTAAAAGACAATGATATAATAGCATATTAAGGAAAACTATTCAAAGAAATTGCACAGTTTTGTTAAATTTGCTAACAATGAGAAAGGTTATAAGGTATAAGGTATTGTTGATGGAGCAGGAGTCACAATGAAAAAGCACATCCAAATTAAAATCAAAAGTTTTACTATTATATTTATAGTTATATTTTGGATACAGTATTGTGAAGTTCATAATCTATACTTATTTAACTTACCTTCTTCTGTTTCAAAATTCAGCTCCCTAACTATTATTTCAATGGCATGGGCTTCTTCCAGATGCTGGATCAAGTTTTCAAACCACGAAAATTGATGAGAGCAATCACCCTCTGGGCCTTTGGGCAAATAAGCCTTTTCGGGTTGTTTGAACAGTCAGATTGTTCACTACAACAACTATCATGCACATTACGTGTATGGCGCGTTAAATTAAATTTACTAGCAAAAGTGTTTGTCACAAAATGAACATTCAAACTTTTTTGTATTAATATCAGACATACTGATCCAGTAACTCTTTAACTTGAAATAACACCATCGATTTGAGATAAAGTTTCCAATCACTTGACAAAATGGAGGTTAAAGACAGAGATCCACGAAAAACAAAATGAACGCCTAAAAAGGAAATGGAATGGAACTCTTTGTTTGTAATGTAACGGTTTTAACAAATCTATTCCAAACAGTTCCGTGTAACTGTTCCAAAAGTTCAAAAAAAGGAAGGTGAAATACTGCGGTGAGAAGGTCGTCGCAGTAGTGGGGGAAGCGTCGCTCCGATTTCAAATTCCGCTGTCCCCTCTCTAGACAGACGAAAAAAGGGCGGTGACGGTCTGACGGCAAACGGGCAAACAGCAAGGGCAAGGTCGACTGAGTCAGAGCACTCAGCAGAGTCGAACAGTCGAGTCTCGACTCTCGAGTCTCTCTCTGAGTCTACTAGTCTAGTGTCAGTGTCTGTTATTTAATTTGTTTTGTTTTTAACGTGAATATAACGATATAACATAAGCCGATTTGTTATTTTTAGTTTAAAAACAACCTTTTTAGTAAACTGTCTAGGTTTACTGAGATCGGATATGTATAATTGAATTTTCATGTTTAAAATGTCGTTTTAAGTTAGGATGTTGGAATTGTGAAATTCGTGGTAAGTCATGTAACTTAGGCCTAGTCTAGCCTAATTTGTAGGTTATTTTAAACAGCTTTGTTGTGTCTTAGGTTTCTTTTTAGATTGATGTGGTTTTCTATAGTGAGTGTTAGTGTTTTAACAGCCGGCCTGGCTACACTTTACTTGACGTCCTACACTCATTCGATTGTTTTTTCGATTCGATATTTTCATTCGGTTGTTTCATTCGATATATCGTTTGGTTAGTTAGGTTAGGTTGACCTTACCTAACTAACCAAACGGTATCTCCGGAAAGTTCAGATTTACCTAAGTGACATAGCCTAGCACAGTTGAAACATTGATTTAGGATGCTTAAGTTTAGGCCTAAGGCTGCACTTTACTTGACGTCCTACACTCATTCGAATGAAAATATCGATCGATATATCGATTAATCGATTGCTTCATTCGATATATCGTTTGGTTAGTTAATCCTGCAGTTACTGAATCAGCTGTTGTTGTACTCATCTTCTTTACTTCCACAAATTTGGAATGATAGTCAATCACTAGCATGTGATTGGTATTGTTAATTTTGAAGAAATCAACTCCAATTTCTTCCCATGGGATTTCTGGCACTGGATATGGTTGAAGAGGTTCTTTTGGGTTTGATCTTTGGTATTCCTGGCATGTTGTACATTGGTCTACTGTGTTTTTTATGTCTCTCATCATTCCTGGCCAGTACCAAGCCATCTGTGCTCTGTTTTGGCACGAATTAATTCCTTGGTGTGAAGCGTGTAGTTGCCTCAGCATGTCGGGTCGCAGCTCACTCGGAATAACAAGTCGGTCTTCCATATATATCAGATCATCATATAAATGTAATTGATACCTTTTTTCCCAAAAAGGGTGAGCTTTGTCATCACAATTTTGTTTGTGTTCAGGCCATCCATGTTCTATGTAAAAACGTACTTGCTTTAGTGCGGCATCACTTTCTGTAGCATATTTATGTCTATTTACTACATCGTCATTAGCAAAAACTGCCAGGGAGTAAACTACCTCAGCTCCGTTGTCCAGATAACTTGTGTTTAAATGTTCATCAATGGGAGCTCTTGAAAGGGAGTCTGCAATGAACATTTTTTTCCCCGGTACATGAACTAACTTAAAATTGTATCTCATCAGTTCCATCATCATTCTCTGAAGCCGTGGTGATAGACTTGCTATAGGTTTGTTTAAAAGACCAAGTAGAGGTTTGTGATCTGTCTCTATTGTGAAGTCTGTTCCATATAGGTAATAGTGGAACTTTTTACAACCATTTACTACTGCCAGAAGCTCTTTTTCAATCTGGCTGTACCTTTGCTGAGTTGCTGTTAAAGCTGAAGAGCTGTAGCCGATAGGATGGTCATTTTGAAAAACAACGGCCCCGAGGCCAAATTTGCTAGCATCTACAGACAAAGTAGACTTCTTTCTTCCATCAAAATAGGCCAAAACAGGAACCTTTGTTATCTCCTCCTTTAATGCTTCAAAACATTTTTGTTCTATCCTTGTCCATATAAAAGACTTGTTTTTGCTCATCAGTAATCGTAGTGGTCCTGTTTTATCAGATAGATTATCAATGAACCTTCCTACATATGTAATCATTCCCAAAAATCTTTGGAGGTCATTTTTATCCCTAGGGCTCGGGTAGTCCTGAATATTTGTAATGTTACTCGAATTTGGTAAAGTAATGTTATGAATTTTAGATCCTTCGTCAAGTTGTGAATCAAGTTTCATTAGTTGCACTTGTTTTTTACTCTCCTCCCTAGCCGTGCAGTAGTGAATTGCTTTATCAAGTTTCAAATCACTCGTCATCAACAACCTTTCTTTACACGCTTCATCTTTAGTCCCTATTATCAATAGGTCTCTTACAAGGATTAACTAACCAAACGATATATCGAATGAAGCAATCGATTAATCGATATATCGATCGATATTTTCATTTAATTAGTTGGTTAGTTAACTAACCAAACGATATATCGAATGAAGCAATCGATTAATCGATATATCGATCGATATTTTCATTCGAATGAGTGTAGGACGTCAAGTAAAGTGCAGCCTTAGGCCTAAACTTAAGCATCCTAAATCAATGTTTCAACTGTGCTAGGCTATGTCACTTAGGTAAATCTGAACTTTCTGGACTTTTCTTTTAACACGTTCGCTGCCGACCGCTAGATGCCGGGACGGCGCCAGGAGCCGAACTAACGCTCGCCGCTGCGTAAACATTGCTTCTGATACACTGAATTACAGTAAAAACAACAGTAGCTATACTGGATGGCAATGTTCTGCAATAAAACTGGCTTTGGACATAGTACTAAGTGATTCTGATAGATAGCAGCACTACCCAGGTTGCAGTCGGTAATGTAGCCTAGTGTCGCTATCTAGCAGGAAAGAGGTGGGACAAAGCCCTGTTCTAAACGACCCTGGTGGTGATTTTGGGAAACAATATTTTTATTGTCAGAAAAGTACGTCCCCACGAGCTGCAAAGAAATAATAGGACGCTCGTGACGAGCTAGCTGATCCATGGTAATGTTAAACAACAATGAATGGCGACGTTCCGGAACGTTCCTAGCTCCTGGCGCCGTGGCCCGTTTGACGTTCCGGAACGTCCGTAGCAGCGAACGTGTTAAACGTTTTTAACCCTCTCTCTGTGTCACAGAAAAGCTCCTTAACTTAAGCGTCACACAGATTTTAGCAATTTTGCAGGGTTCATTTAAGTATACCTACAATTTTTTAAACTTATTAGGTACCTACTTAGGAATAAATATGAACTATTGTATACAGGGTGTCCCGGAACTCTCTACCAATATTTTAGGGCATTGTTCCTGGGTAAGAAACATATCTAAATATCATATTTAAATTGTCCGGAAGTCCTTAGTTACTCAGATAGCCGCCATTTTGTTTTTTTTTCACTTATTATTTTTTTCTGAAAATTGGTTTAAACATACAAAGTTGAAGCTTTGCACAAACATTTATGACAACTCGACAAAGCTACAAAAAAATTATGAAGATTTTTGAAATTCATAAAACAAAATGGCGGCTGTTTAAAATGTTGTTTCTTAAATTGGTACTCGAAAACCGTTGATTTTACAAAAATTTTACAAGAATAACTTTTTTAAGGCAATTTTATTACAAATCGATCGACACCTTAATCTTTAAGATCGGACGAGTATTAACTGAGATAAGACAGTTTTATGGATACGTGACCGCTTTAGCATGCGCTGCAACTAATATCCAGCCGCCATTTTCTTTTATGAATTTGAAAAATCGTCATAATTTTTTTGTAGCTTTGTCTAGTTGTCATAAATGTTTGTGCAAAGTTTCAACTTCGTATGTTTAATCAATTTTCAGAAAAAAAATAATAAGTGAAAAAACAAAATGGCGGCTATCTGAGTAACTAAGGACATCCGGACAATTTAAATATGATATTTAGATATGTTTCTTACCCAGGAACAATGCCCTAAAATATTGGTAGAGAGTTCCGGGACACCCTCATTTTGTTCACCAAATTTAGGAGTATACAGGGTGAATAAAAAGTCAAGACCCCCCCCCCCCTTTAATATTTTTCACATTAATAATACAGAGACATCCTTTTGGTGGTCGTGCAATCTTAGCAGGAAGTTTCATTTTATGATTTTGAATTTTTTGAGTGTCCCCCCAAAAGGGGGGATTTGGGGGGTAGGCTAACTCAAAATATTTTAAATGTAAACCCCCTTCAAGTGACACCTCATTTTGAAGTGTTTATAAAAACTTAAAGAGTGGTGAAAACTAGAGGTCGCTATCTCTTTTCTATCCAAAATGGCAGCCCGTCAAATGTTGTAGAAAATCAATGGTAAAATTGGTTCGTAATAGTAATATTGGCTACCATTTTGGTTAGAAAAGAGATAGCGACCTCTAGTTTTCACCATTCTTTACGTTTATGTAAACACTTTAAAACGAAGTATCAAAAATGGGGGGTTTACGTTTAAAATCTTTGAGTGTCCCCCCAAAAGGGGGGATTTGGGGGGCAACTTTAATTTGTTCATTGTAAACCCCAATCAAGTGACACCTCATTTTGAAGAGGTTACAAAAACTTAAAGAATGGTGAAAACCAGAGTTCGCTATCTCTTCTCTATCCAAAATGGTAGCCAATATTCCCATTACGAACCAATTTTACCATTGATTTTCTACAACATTTGACGGGCTACCATTTTGGATAGAAAAGAGATAGCGACCTCTAGTTTTCACCATTCTTTAAGTTTTTGTAAACACTTCAAAATGAGGTGTCACTTGAAGGGGGGTTTACATATAAAATATTTGAGTTACCCCCCAAATCCCCCCTTTTGGGGGGACACCCAAAAATTTCAAAATCATAAAATGAAACTTCCTGCTAAGCTTGCACGACCACGAAAAGGATATCTCTGTATATTTACATGGAAAAATATTAGAGCGGGGGTCTTGACTTTTTATTCACCCTGTACTAATATCCTACTTCCTACTAATATTATAAATGAGAAAGTTTAGATGTATGGATGTTTGGATGTATGTTTGTGACAAGTGAACGCGAAAAATACTGGTCGGATTGGGCTGAAATTTGGCATGATGGTAGCTCACATTCCCGATTAACATATAGGCATATTCTTATTTCAAAAATCCTTTCGGGCTCCGCCCCAGTGGCTCTGGAGTTTCCCATGTTAACCTTATGAGAAATTGAATTATTGAATCTTAACAGCTGTTTCAATTAAACAAGTTGGTTCTGTTCTATGATATTCAATAGCATTAATGTTACAAGGATTACCAACAGGGTGCAGCACTATTATTTCTTTTACATTTATGACAACAGCTAATTTGCAACCAAAAGGTGAGTGAGCGTAGCGAACGAGCTCCAACCAGGACGGGATTGAGCCATGCGAACGAGATAATCTTGAAAATTAAGAAGTTAAACGGGGCAAAGCCCGCGGGTTACAGCTAGTATAATAATAATGACACTAACCTGGTACCTACTAAAAAAAATTTCAGCATAGAAATCCTAAGTT